GACTTCTAATCTGATTAGCGTCACTCAAGATATTGCTGAATCCATAGACGACGGGTACCAGACTGATGTAATATATATTGATTTTTCTAAAGCGTTTCATCGGCTTGATCATCAAATATTATTAAAGAAATTGATAATAATACAGGCGGATAAAAGATGTGAATGATTGTTCGCTACTTCAGAAAAATTTGAGCAAAATACGTTCCTGGTGTTGTGCAAATAACCTTCAGCTCAATATTGAGGAGTGTAAGATTGTGTCGTTTACTACGAAAGTATCGGTCATAGAGCATAATTATCTTATTAACAGTGATATAATATCCCGCTTCGCTCTGATAGCTTTTGTGATCTAGGTGTTCTCTTTGATTGTAAACTTTTCTTTGTGCCTCATATCAATAATATATTGTCGGAAGCATCAAAGAGTTATGGATTTATTTTTCGCTGTTCAAGGGATTTTAATGATGTTGATGTAATCAAAATTTTATTTTATTCCTATGTTAAATCCAAGCTTGAATATGCTTCAGTTGTATAGGCACCTGGTTATGATATTCATATTGATAATCTTGAGAGAATACATAGGATTTTTTTTAAATATTTAAGTTTTAAGTGTGATGGTGTTTATCCTCCTCAAGGATTTGCTCATGATCACTAATTGAGAAGATTCAATTATATCTCACTTGAGGATCGCCGGGACGGGACCACCACACTTTAGTTATGCTTTATAAGGTACTAAATAACCGTATTGATTGTTCTAATTTGCTTCACAGGTTCAATCTTAATGTTCCACGTTTAACTTCTCGTCAAACTTGTGTATTTTATTTGTCAATTCCGCGTACCAATATAATGAAACTCTCTTCTGTTTTCTCTATATGTAATTAATATAATAAATGTTGTCTAGAACTAGATTGTGATTTTTTCAACTTGTCATTAAATAGGGTGAAGCAGATATTGCGGAAAGGAGTTAATAAATTGGTGTTTTACGTATGTAGGTTTGGGCTGGGTGTAGGGTAAGTTAGGTTCAGGTCATTTTTATATACCATAATTTCTTGATAATTTTTATTCTTTTATGTTAAATTTGTAAGTGTTTATTTTTCCAGTCCTGTAGTTGGCACTTTGTACTGTAGGGCCGGTAATGTAAATAAATAAATAAATAAATCACCAAACATAGTTGAAGCGGAACTTCATGCGATTGAAAGATGCGTGCAGTTCGACCTGAACAGAAGTTATCGGAAACGAGAGATTGTAATAATGTCTGACAGCTAAGCAGCTATCAAAGCATTGAGATCCCCAGTCATTAATTCTAAGACAGTATGGGAATGTCTACAGAAACTAAATGAGCTGGGAAAACAAAATAAAGTAAACCTTCCTGTTGGTTCCCGGACACATAGGTGTCGAGGGCAACGAATGCGCAGACAGACTCGCAAGAAAGGGAGCGTCCACTCCCTTCACAGGGCCAGAACTATTTTGCAGCGTCAGAAATACGCACCTCAAAGAAGAGAACCGGCTAAGGAACAAACAATGGCTAGAACAGCCCAAGAATACGACAGGCCAAAGTTCTATTGAGCAACTTCAACCAAAAAAGATCAGAATTGCTAGTCAACCTTGGCAAGAATAGTCTCAAGACTCTGACCCGGTTTCTCTCGGGACAATGCAGACTTAAGAAACACCTACAGAAGTTGGGGTTAGAAGAAGGTGGCACCTGCAGATTCTTCGAAGACGGAGAAGAGGCACCTCACCATCTTCTACTGAACTGGAATGCCGTTAGTCGCTCAAAGATGAAGAGCTTGGCAAGTGCCCTTAGACATTCCAGCCGTGGAACCGCTGGATATCCTAGAATCCCTAAAGGACCTAGGACTGGAGGGGCTGCTTTAAGCAGGAAACCCGAACTTAGCAGCAGAAGGGCGGGAACCATAGATCAACCTTGTTCGCGGTGCATTTGACACCTCCAACACACACATACACATACACATTTGAACACGTAAGCAATCGTCTAAAAAACGTATTGATTGTCATTTGTGGACATCTTAGGGACGTTTTCAAGATGTCTACAAAAACTACCCATAAAATTCGTTGCTCATTCAATTTAGAAGTTACTGGAAACCATTTAAAATGCTACAGAATACTTTAGAACTTTAATAGGCCTTTTGGAAAGTTCAAAACACCTAAAATTCAATTCAGAATTTCCAAAAGCATATCTATAGTTAGCAATTTTTCATTATTTTCCATAGTACATTTTCCTCGAAAATGATTAAAATTATACTTGCTACTCTAATCTACATATTTTTACAGAATAATCTTCTCCTACAGACGTTTCTTCTGTGAAAAAATAAAGTCAAATTTTAGGAGTAGTATACATTCTTTGGTAGTACGTATATACTTTTAAATAAAGTGTGAATTGACCAAAAGCTATCAGTCACGTGTCCTAACAAAACCGCATCAGGTAAACAATTTTACATACACAAAAGTCGAAAAATTGTCCCCGACCTTGCTTGAAAATCCTTCTTTTCGAGCCATTCTGTCGAACAATAGAGAACAAAAGGGCGTCTGTTCTGTCCTAAAGCTGTCCTCAAAAGCTCTTGCGGTAACTGGCACTCACCGTTGCACGGGACCCCCTTAGTCCTCATATATACCAGACGCACCCTCTCGCACGGGTTTTAGCAGTAAAGCTGGTTAAATGTCTTTATTGAGGCCGAGAGAGGGATGATATTGATGCTTAGTGTTAAATAAAAATGAGCAATCCTTATCTTATGCTGTTTCTCAAGATGTAACAGTTGGTTCATATACAAAAAATCTGAATAATTCAGCTATTAAATGCATAATAACTTTGAGGTATTTTAGCAAAAAAAATCAGCAATAGTCCAAGATTCTTGGTAACATTAGAAAATAACTACTAAAACCGTTTTTCAGTTACATAAAACCAGAAAGATTTTTAATCAAGATTGCGAGAAAAACGATCAATAAAACGGACTTTAGTAATGATTTTATGTAAATTTGCTGACAATGAACATACACTTGTGTTTAGAATGCCGAGCCGTAAACGGTTTCACAAAAATTCTCCGTTTATGACTCTTGTCTTGTCGATTGGTGGCTCTAAATTATGACTTAATTTAAAACATGAATCGCCTCTGAATGCAAATGAAATTACTGGTTTTCAAAGTACTTGCATGACTTGATTTTAAGCTTCTTACACAATTCAACTGGATTTGACACATAAACAATTGTCTAAGTCGCAATTTTTGCACTTAACAAATGACTCTAGTGAATTTTAATGAAGATATAATGACCAATAACTTCAATTTAAAACTGGTAAAGATGGTCTCGAAGCGAAATTATACCAAGCATTTAACAAAATGGAAAATGTTAAGAGAAGGTCCTTATTATTACTCATTTTATAACACTTTTTGTCTATTCCAGGCCCTAGGCTCTCTGAAATAATTCTCAGGTTTTCAAATTGTTCTGAAGCCTTCCAAAATGCTGCTAGAAAAGGTTTTGGAACATTCTAAATTGCTTATTGAAATTCTAAAGTGATTTAACTTAGATTTAAAAGTTCTGGAGCATTTTAGAAAATTTTCAGCAATTTCTAAATCGTTCTGACAGACTTTTAAGTATTTTAGAGCCGTATATTGAAGCTCCAAAGTATTCTGAATTGGTTCAAAAGAGTTTTAAATGAATCCTAGTTGTTCTGAAATGACTCTGAAGTTTCTGAATTGTTCCAAAATGCTCCAGGAAATTCTGATTTAAATAATTTGAACTGTTTTGGATGCCTATAAAAGTTTGAAGTTCTACAGCAATTTAAATTCGCTCTTGAACGCCTTTATTCTCAATCCTAAGATTCTGGTGCTTTTCAAAATGTTTGACAATCGTTGGAGCGTCCCATGGTGAAATGGGTTTCAAACCTCTCAATTATTCTACAATTCTTTTGGTAATTGTAAATCGAATGTTTAGGAGCATTCTAAAATGGTTCTAAAGTTTCCAAATTGTTCTGAAGCGCTACCTATAAAATAGAAAATAGGTAAAAGTGAAATCATAAGACATCATACAATAATTCCGAAATTTCTAGGTTTCCCTATTCCGTCATAATAAAAAGCCAAATATCAAGTGTACTCGAATATATTAACAGCATCTTGTTGCATCTGATTCTGATGGCCTATTTTATTATTGGGAGCTATTCCTGACACAAAGCCTCCTTCCTGTACAGTCAAAGGAGGGCGATTGGAGCAAGTTTCATTGTTTTATAAGTCCTCTTTGGGCACCCTTCGGCCGGTTTCCTGGGGTCTAATACTTGATCTCAAAAATTAAGTGGTCAGCTTTTTATGGGGGGATTAATATTTTTCAGAATTGCATTGATGATAATATGGATAAATACAAATAAATCCAGTTCTGTAGGAACTATAATTTGTTTTATCTTTATTAATCTCGTCACGTCATAATTAATTATCGTGCTGATAAAAACAAACTGAAAAAAAAAAAACGTTTCTAATCGACATCGGCTCCTTTTTTTTTTTCGTGAGATCGCCTCATTAAAACATACCGAATAAATCTTGGTTCCAGTTTGATTGATCGGTTACTTTTGATCAAGATTATCAACATAAATTTGTCCGGTACCAATGAGGAAAGAAAAGTGTTGATTTTTTTATTTGGAAAAAATAATTGTCGATTGATATCTATTGATTGTACGATGATAAAACTAGTTTTCATATTGTAATTTTAAGCTAATGTTTAGAAAAATGCTTTTTCTTAATATTAGGCTTGGTTCACCATGTACTGAAGATCAAGATCGAGGTATCTGGGAGAGGCACATTTTAATGACAATCAATTTAAAGCCGAAGGAAACCGTGTACCAATAAAAATTCCTTTAATTAGTAGATGGTCGTACATTTTCCTTCGGGCACTAACTAGACGTTATGTGTGAGACAGAAGGTGTTTAACGACTAATTTATTTCAACCAGAAATTTTTAACGTATTAATTAGGACAAAAATGTTATTCACTAAATTCAAATTACCTTTTCCCAAGACTGGTCTCCTTGGCGGCGATTCCCTTATAAAATATCCTCGTCTCGACTTCTCCGTCGCTCAAAGTGTTGCTGGCGACAAAATTGAGAATCTCCATGCCACCGACCACTCTAAAAGCGGCAAAATAGAGCAGGAGGTTAGCCACCAGGAGGTGGCCGCTACACCTGGGGCACCTCTTTTCGAATTTCCACATTCACTAGGACCAGACGATGCGTGGAACCGCTAACCACGCACTAAGCCAGGTTGAAAAAATGAACCTGGAAACAAAATTTTTAATTGTTTTAGAGAAAAATTTCGATGCAAAATTTCTATTTATACATTTTCGCAATAGTCTGCAAAATCCGCGAGCTGGTTTATTTGATTTAATGAAAAATGTTAATGTGAAAGTTATTGTACTTTTGCCAAAATAAATTTACCTCTATGCTACTGACATTCTACACCGTGTATGCGAAATTAGGTACACTAACAATAAAAAACGACTTTTGATCTAAGGAAATAAAGCAAGATAACAAAGTATTATCTAATGCATTTTGCGTTATTTTGTCTAATAATTTTGAAGGTAACAAATTATTATTATTATTTCATCATATATTTTACTTATAAGCCAAAAGAGGACTGTCTACAACAAAATATAATTTAAAGAAATTGTACATAAAACGTAGAAGACATTAACTGCTCTACTTCTAAAAATGGTATTGGGCCATTGTCTTAACTCTACATACAAAAAATCTAGGTAAGATTGAAACAAAAGGATAATAAATAATATTGAGGGTGTGTCCTTTTTATAATTAAAATGTAACATCATCGAAAATAAATTAATTAAATATTAAAAGTCTTTATCTGGGACTTCTGCTGTTCGCTGGACAACTTAATTAAAGACAATTATCGCAATTTTAATCTGGACACCGTGTCAAAACATATCACAAATCAATTTGTTACATACGGTTTTTTTATAGGTAGGTACTAAAATGATTTGTAGTATTTTGATAATTTTACGAAGGCGTTATTTTTATATTCGTTGGTAGGTATTGCGAAATGGACATGCTCGGGTTAATAAGTACCTTATATGCATTTCGCATTCTTAACAAGTTCAAAGAATAACTACAGTGGATTTAACATCAATTCAGAATTTATTATTGGAAGCAAGAGGTAGGTAGGTATATCTAAGCACAAGAAGTTTGAATCGTTTTGTGCAAGGGATAAATAAGGGATAAACCACCGCCGCGAACTTGTACAAATCTTCAAACTGCTCGCAAATTCCCTACAAATACCTGTAGGTCAATCGAGTGTACGCCACTGGTGTTTTCCCATTTCTGACTACACCCTCAACCTTCCCATGTTAGTATGAATTCAATCCTATGTACAGTTTTTGAATAATCATACAGTTTTCTATGGCTCAACCTATAAAAAGTTCTAAAATACCAGAGAAATTTAACCTCAGAAGAGTCACATTATAACACATTTGGATATTTATCCCTTTGAGCTTGACACTTGCAAAGTAAAATTTAAACGAAAAGAGAATTTGAAGAGTCACATTATAATGCATTCGGATATTCAACCTCTTGAATGTGACACTTGCAAAGTAAAATTTATACGAAAATCGGATTTGAAGAGTCACAAATCAACACACTCGGATATTTATCCTTTTGAATGTGACACTTGTAAAGCAACATTTAAACAAAAAGGTCATTTGAAGACTTACCTATTAACACACTTAGATATTTATCCTTTCGAATGTGACCTCAACATATAGATGATAGGACTATGACATCAGAAACTACCTTGCAATCTCTAGTATTCATGAAAATCATCATCTGATATCGATAGCTACCAATATTTTGAAGAGACTGGGGTTCTGACATGGTTTTTACTCCTAACCATCTCCTCACTATCACAGAAATGGGAGTATATCTTAAAATGGATAATAACAGGATAATGAAGAGATTCAAGTAAAATTTAAACGAAAAGGGAATTTGAAGAGTCCCATGATAATGCATTCGGATATTCAACCTCTCGAATGTGACACTCGCAAAGTAAAATTTATATGAAAATCGGATTTGAAGAGTCACAATTCAACACACTCGGATATTTATCCTTTTGAATGTAACACTTGTAAAGCAAAATTTAAACAAAAAGGTCATTTGAAGACTTACCTATTAACACACTTAGATATTTATCCTTTCGAATGTGACCTCAACGTATAGATGATTGGACTATGACATCAGAAACTACCTTTCCATCTCCGGTATTCATGAAAATCATCATCTGATATCGATAGCTGCCAATGTTTTGAAGAAACTGGGGTTCTAACATGGTTTTTACTCCTAACCATCTCCTCACTATCACATAAATGGGAGTATATCTTAATATGGATAATAACAGGATAATGAAGAGATTCAAGTAAAATTAAAACGAAAAGGGAATTTGAAGAGTTACATGATAATGCATTCGGTTATTCAACCTCTCGAATGTGACACTTGCAAAGTAAAAATTATACGAAAATCGGATTTGAAGAGTCAGAAATCAACACACTCGGATATTTATCCTTTTGAATGTAACACTTGTAAAGCAAAATTTAAACAAATAGGTCATTTGAAGACTTACCTATTAACACACTTAGATATTTATCTTTTCGAATGTGACCTCAACATATAGATGATAGGACTATGACATCAGAAACTACCTTTCCATCTCCGGTATTCATGAAAATCATCATCTGTTATCGATAGCTACCAATGTTTTGAAGAGACTGTGGTGTGGTTCTGACATGGTTTTTACTCCTAACCATCTCCTCACTATCACATAAATGGGAGTATATCTTAATATGGATAATAACAGGATAATGAAGAGATTCAAGTAAAATTAAAACGAAAAGGGAATTTGAAGAGTTACATGATAATGCATTCGGATATTCAACCTCTCGAATGTGACACTTGCAAAGTAAAAATTATACGAAAATCGGATTTGAAGAGTCACAATTCAACACACTCGGATATTTATCCTTTTGAATGTAACACTTGTAAAGCAAAATTTAAACAAAAAGGTCATTTGAAGACTTACCTATTAACACACTTAGATATTTATCCTTTCGAATGTGACCTCAACATATAGATGATAGGACTATGACATCAGAAACTACCTTGCCATCTCTAGTATTCATGAAAATCATCATCTGATATCGATAGCTACCAATATTTTGAAGAGACTGGGGTTCTGACATGGTTTTTACTCCTAACCATCTCCTCACTATCACAGAAATGGGAGTATATCTTAAAATGGATAATAACAGGATAATGAAGAGATTCAAGTAAAATTTAAACGAAAAGGGAATTTGAAGAGTCCCATGATAATGCATTCGGATATTCAACCTCTCTGATGTGACACTTGCAAAGTAAAATTTATACGAAAATCGGATTTGAAGAGTCACAATTCAACACACTCGGATATTTATCCTTTTGAATGTAACACTTGTGAAGCAAAATTTAAACAAAAAGGTCATTTGAAAACTTACCTATTAACACACTTAGATATTTATCCTTTCGAATGTGACCTCAACATATAGATGATAGGACTATGACATCAGAAACTACCTTGCCATCTCCGGTATTCATGAAAATCATCATCTGATATCGATAGCTACCAATGTTTTGAAGAAACTGGGGTTCTGACATGGTTTTTACTCCTAACCATCTCCTCACTATCACATAAATGGGAGTATATCTTAATATGGATAATAACAGGATAATGAAGAGATTCAAGTAAAATTTAAACGAAAAGGGAATTTGAAGAGTCCCATGATAATGCATTCGAATATTCAACCTCTCGAATGTGACACTTGCAAAGTAAAATTTATACGAAAATCGGATTTGAAGAGTCACAAATCAACACACTCGGATATTTATCCTTTTGAATGTAACACTTGTAAAGCAAAATTTAAACAAAAAGGTCATTTGGAGACTTAAGTACCTATTAACACACTTAGATATTTATCCTTTCGAATGTGACCTCAACATATAGATGATAGGACTATGACATCAGAAACTACCTTGCCATCTCCAGTATTCATGAAAATCATCATCTGATATCGATAGCTATAGTTGAAATCACAATAGAAAGTGAAGTTGTATTGTGATGATATTTAGATCAAGCCATGTAAGTTGCTTAACTTGGCAACATGGCATGATCAAGTTTAGTTTCTAGGGTAGATGTTTCTTGGGAGGTTATGTTAAATTTGGTAGAGAGTTGTTTTGTTTTCAACACAAAAACATGTTTCTTATTTTCAATACATAGTGTGTAATCGTTTTCTTAATAAAACCAATTATTTGAACATACGTGTAGTACTATCACTCCATAGTATCACAGTTTCCTATGTACAGTTTTTGAATAATCATACAATTTCCTATGCAGGAAGGAACCCGTGTTGGGAAGCTGGGATTATTCCATTTCCGAGCAAAAATCCAGTCATCTCAGACCCCAGGATTTTCTCCATGCATTTGCAAAAGGTGCTTGTTAAGCTAATGAGCCCATAGTTTTTCAGGCAGGTGTTTGTTACCTTTCTTGTAAATAGGTACTACAATGGTACTCTTTCAGTCCCTTGATAGTTCACCCTGCCTGAGAAGATTGTTCATCATGGGTGAGAAAGGATTTGACAGAATTTTCATTCTCCTGGATTAAAATCTGGCTCTCCAATTTCTGAAGTGTAAGAGTTACAGTTTTATCACAGAAAATATCAGGATCTAAGCTGGACATATGGCTTAGATCTTCTCTTGTAAAAACACTTTGAAACTGTTTGGCAAACAAATTGGCATCTTCTTTTCTTATCATCATCATTACCTAAGGGTGCAGTTAGTGGTTACATCTCTGTGAGAAATGCCTAAGTCTTGAACCAAGAGATCTGTTTATGTGGGAATAAAACTGCTTATCTGAAGCAATTCTTGTTCATATTTCCTTCTAAACTGTTTTATCCTAGCTTTGAGGAAATTATTTTGGTTCCTGTAGATCAAGTTGTCATATTTAGAATTGCTTTTCAATTTCTTGAGTTAGCCAAGGCTTCTGGGGCATTGACAATGTTCTGTTTTAATGAGATGAAAGAGCTAATTGTGTGTAGGAGGAACTTTTCTTCATCTCTTGTTACATCACTAAAAAAGGTATGACCTTTTACAAGCTGAGGATAGCGATTTCCATTATGGCCAAATCCAAATGGAAATAATCTTCTTTAATATTTATTTCTTGGTCTAAGATTAACATAATATCTGCGATTTAAAGGGATGGCTTGAATGGGCACTCTTCACTGATAATAATTGTGAATCTTCTTGATTTGTGATATTTTCAGTTTCAAAGATACACCACCAGGAAGAGGATAAATTCATTATCTCCATAATCATAACCACTTAAGCAGTCACCGAAGCTTTAAAAAACCTGAAAACTCACTCCAGTCCAGGATCAGATGAAA